AATCAGATTTAAGCTGCATCGCCCGTATACCGCATTAACGTAAGGAACTAGCTCCGTCGCTGCGCTCTTTTGATCTCTCATTCGAAAAATCCTCATTTTCCTGCTCATCAAGCGTTCACTGTTTCGTGCGTTCCGAGATTCCACCTCCTCCGTTTCGGTTCCACCTCCCCGCCGCCGCTTCCACGCTCCGTCGAGGGATTTTTTATTACCGCTTCTCTTATTAGACGGAGGTTGAGGTCGCCCTTTCATCTTTTAACAAATTTTACCGCCGCACCCGCGTTATTGAGTCCGCCGTCGTCGATGGAACGACGCGAGCCTTCCGAAATTTTAATTAACAACGAAAGTTGCCTCGTTTCGGGGGGATTCGTGACAGTCACAGATCATGCAATCGATCTTATTGATCTACAATCTGCGATGATCGCAGTATTCGCCTTCTAACATCGAGTAAAATAACATTGGGAACTGACGAGTAGAAGACAAAGATTACCCTACACGTTGTCCAGTAAACTATCAAAAAAGCAACTGCGAAGAAGAGATCACATAACAACAGCTAATAAATCTAAAACATTAACAATAAACAACGTACAGTCTAAAATACCGCATCGGCCAATAGAAAGCACATAACGAAACTACAGTGTCCCATTAAAAAAGAACTACCTCGATAGCGCCGCCTTCGAGGCGTCAGCCGAAAATCCCCGAAGCCAGAGAATTCGAATGAACGAGCCCCATTCGGCAATTAACGAGCGACGCGGCCGAGTTCTCTACGTACCCCGTGTATCCGTCGAGGTTCTCGCTCGCGAGTCCATCAAGCCTTTCCTCGCAGCCGGGACGCCGTTCCGAAGATCTCAATCAATCCACCTTGCGTATCCCAAGACGTGCACCGCGCCGCCCCGCGCCGAGCCGGATGCGGCGCGGCGCGGCGCCGTCAGCGAAATTCACGGGGGGTGGATTGAGATGTGGCGGGGTGTGGCCGGCACCGAGGATTAACCCCCCTGACAGCCAATCATATCGCCGGCAGCCCCACCAGCCGCTCGGCCTGGGAGAGGTGGCTGAAACTGTCGTCCGCTGCCGCCTCCTCTTCAGCAACCCCCACCGCTAATTGCCCTAGCTTTAATATCGCATGTGGAATGAGAACTGGAACTACACTTCAGGGGCATGGGGCTGTGGGAGGGGGCGATAACGGAGCAGAAATGCGCCGGAGGAACCGGGAACGGAGGCAGCGTCCGTTTTGTGTGCGTTCCCTGGTGACGTCTACATCGAGGTGGCCAGGGGATGGCGTCTAGCTGCCGTTCGCCGTGTGCGCGCATATTTGCGGAATTTTACCTGCGGCCTCTCAGCGATATCTGATTTTCAGGCCAATTTGCGGAGGTTCGTTTGCTTTATTAATGATCCCTGCGATTATCGAGGAGCGCTGCGAGACCGTAACAGAGATTGATCGACGTGCCGGAGTCAATTTACGTCATCGCCGGATCACGCCGCGAGTGGAGAACGGAACACCGTTCGCAGCCGGTCGGAAAGACACTGCGGTCATTTTGTCGACGCTTTTAGACCTTGTTGCGTTTTCTATTAATATTCCATTTAGACTTTGGGGAAGTTGGATACGAATGACGTCTGTGGTTGGCAATGGAAATACTGGTAACACGGATGTTACGTTGACGAATGTGTATGGGCATTATTGAACGTGACATTTATAGGTTATGGTAGCAATCCGGCGAAGCAGATGAGGATAAGATAAGATTTAATTCCGGAAGATCAACTAATTATCATCCCCATAATCGGAAAGATGAAATTATTCGTTCAGCCGGGCGTGTTCATTTTTAACAGCCGCGGACTAATTAAAGATCGTTCGGGGAGGGAAATTCGCCGAGGCGAACGGCGCTCTCGGCCCCGGGATCGTCGTCTTTGCCTTCTATATTGGCTCGTAAGCGCGCCTCTTATAAAGCGGAGCAATTATCCGGGTAAAATACTCTCCGAAATTTCCGTGATAAATTTCCGCCCGTAATAAGGGTGAGTCGCTAGTCATTTGGCCAGACTCGAAGAGGGTTGGGTATCGGGCTTCAATAGAAATTCTTTCCGACCCACCCTCCGTCCCCCCGGCCGTCGTTCCGCCTGCCGTTTAATTTAAACATTTGTCGCTAATCTCATTCAACGGCGCGAGTCTGGCGGCGAGGAGCTTCTTCCAGTCGAAAGCTAATAATTACCGGACCTGAATGTAGTGCGAACACCGTGGAATGGGGTTACGGGTGTTCCAGACGTTAGGGGATGCTTTTCGACCTTTTGTCGCCTGTACATGCCGCCGCTGGGAGCTCGAGCGTGGCTGGAACGGATGGAAAACGGAAAACAAGCGATAGTATTTTCAATTACGGTTGGACGTATGGCGAAGAAAACAGTAACAGATGAAAATTGCGTGTCGTTTGTATCGTACTCGAAACAAGAACGTATTTTTGAGATTGACAGGTTATGTCACTTTGTTCGCATTCTTAACACATTGAACGCCGGCTAAATTTCAGCTACTAAAAACGCGAGCGTCGGAGATTGCATTGATACATTTTTAAACATGGATTAAACCAAAATTTCCAACTTACGGAAGAGAATAAGGAATTCGATTTTGTAAATTTTACTTTAGATTTGTGTTATGTATATCTAAAATGTTGCATGAACGTAGGATCAGCAATTAAATGATAGACTAAAAATCCCGCATTATCGCGGGGCCGGCGCTCAATGTTTTAAGGTATTATTTTTGTGATATATCTTTTGTTTTTGGCACTTAAAGTACGTAGTATATATGTATTTAATTAATGAAACCAAGATTTTGTACTGATTTTTATTAATTAGAAGACGAGTTGCAGGTTTAAGTAAGTTTTGCGGAATGATATACCGATAACGGCTGTTCGTAGTTTGAGAACGGGAGGCGAGGCCGTTAAAAATTCAATTTCGTGTTTAATTTTACGGCACCTTTTGAACCGGCCGACGACTTCTACGCGAACTTCTAGCGGCACGGGAAATATACGACGTAATTACGCCGGATCCATTGTTCGGTTTCATAAAATATGTAAGGAGACGCCGAAGTAAATTTGGGATTTATAGTGCAATCTCAACTTCATAATGGCCCCGCGTAGAAGTATTTATTGCAATTAATATCTCGAACGGCCATAAAGGAACGAAACTTCATGAGAAGTCTATTCAGCGACGCGTCATTGATCCAATTCGATTTGATTTTCAACTAGGAGGTAAGATATGGAAACGTCTACGTGAAATTTATTAACCGATCGTTGGATCTTGATTTTAATTATGATATACGATGAGATGAGATAAGAAAGCATGTAAGACGATGACGAGGCCGGAAAGGTCAACACGATGTAAAACCTTGACGTAATTAAGCTGTTGCCCTTGAGCTTAAGCTTCTTAGAGGTTTTCCGAGGTACTGAAATTCCCGCATACCCGTCAACGTCTAATGAGGGGATTGCGGATGAAGTTTCAGGCTGGAGAGGGGCAATTAGACGAACCGTGCTTGCTCAGAATCTGAGACATATGTGTGCAACCACGATGATTTTCAACCGATACTTCTGCCCCAACTAATAATGTTCAGTACTACCACAATCCAAATAATTAAAAAATAATACGAATACGTCACAAATAGAGAAGAATGTAATCCTGACTGCAAGTGCTTCACAATAATTCAAGCTTCCAAGCTCTACCAGAACCAATCAATTATAGTCACCATCGTAATCAACAATTAACATTCAACGACACCATTCCCACATCCCGCGATACCAATTCCAAACGCAACGAAGCCAATCCAACCGAAAAACCTGCGCGCAAACAAGCGAATCATCGTCTCCCAAGTGAATTCATCAGCGGCGGGCGTCTCAATCCGCGGGGGCGCAAGAAAGATCACCCCGGGGGGGACAAAATTAAACGACCTCATCATCATTAGACCGTCCACCTAATTACCGGGACGTCTTAGACGCGGATGACATCGTCGCGAGGAGGACGCGAGGCGTGTTGGTGCACGCGATCCACCGTCGAGCGTGCACGTCCGTCGTCGGTGAGACTGTCGCGCGGGGGCGGCGAGTTGGTCTACACCGGGAAAGCTTATTAATGGGGTTGGAGGGGCACGGAGAGCGGCGGAAGGCCTAGAAGAGGACGAGAGGAAGAACGAGCTGGTCTTGAGAGCCGGATCGCGGCTGGATGGGTTTCAGGCGGAGGGTTGGAAAAAAAGTAACAGACTTCCCCGCAAATAACCCCCACAGGGTCGACGGTGGGCGTGTCGCGGCGGCGTGGTGATGGCAGCCGCCGGCCAATCGGGCCGCTCGGTGCCGCCGTTCCTTCGCCGGACGAAAAAATATTGACCGCGACGAGGGGGTATTCTGCGGTCCATTTGGGGGTTGCGGAGGTGAAACGCAACGCTGGTAGTGATTGTTAGGAGAGTGGTGAACGGCGATGAAGGGGCTGCGCGGAGGGGGACGCCGGATGCTCGCGGGGGTAGGAGGACGGCGGTGGTGTGCACCGGCGGGTGAATACCCCCCTCGTCACGTACGGGATCATTAGCCGGATATCCTTAGTCCTGCCGGCCAACCCTCTCTGATAGCGGTGATCCTCGTGCCTGACATCATTATCCTGGGATGCTGTGCAGCGCCAGCGCGGCGAGGCCGTCCTTCCCAGCTGCCCTCATCATCGTTCCCATTCGGTTCTTCGTGTTTTTCCCGTTACCGCGGACGCTTTGAGAACGTCGCGACGCTCGCACCGAGGATCACCCGATTTTCCGCCGGCCGTCTTCCCCCGAGGGACCAGTGTGATGTCTGTGCGCGGGTTCCGACGACGGACCTTTTTGTGCCGGGTTGTTCAGTGATAAGGGATTGCTGTCAGTTTTCGACGAGATGGACTTCCACGGTGTCCCGTTGTCGAAGGCGCATTGGATTCCACGTTGAATCTCGAAACGTTGGATAGACTGATCGGGTATTAGAGTGGTTCTGGGGACCGTATCGGCTGGGACGACTATGGAGGCCAACGATCCGTCGGGAAGACTCACCGTGGAAGATCTGTCCGATTGCAGAAGCGAGTCCAGCCACTCGGAATCGCAGCTGAGAGCGTTTCAAGATTACGAGCGAGTCAAGGAATTGAATCTGTCGGTGGAGAAATCGAAGGAAGACGCGACGGAGCCTAAAGATTTCCATCTGGGACTGGAACCTGCCAGGATCCACTTCGAGGAGTTCGAGAACGCGACCAGGAATCTTCCGATGAGTCTGAACAAGGGCAAAGACTTCGGTTACATCGCGAGTGGTTTGAACGAAATGGCTTATCCGTTGGACAGATTGAACGAGAACGAGGAATCCCTGGAAACGTCGAGTCTGTGCAGGTCCAAGAATCCGACGGCCAAGGATCTTCTGTTCAACCTCCGCGAGGGGAGGCAGAAGAACGCTCATACCGCGTTGTCGATGGACAGGTACGGCAAGGATTTGAACTTCGCCGTTTCCGAGAAGGATATTAAGGATTTTGGGCTGTTGAAGAATTATAGCTTGGATCGGATGAAGGAGTTTAATCTGTCGCTGGATAGAATGAGGGACAATCACATCGGGAACTTCGCTCTGGAGAGACTCCGCGGCGGTGGCGGATTGCTAGAGAACCCTCCTATCTTAGAGCACAACGAGTTTAAGAATATTCAGGCGCAACCGAGGAACCAGAATATCGAGGCGATCGCGTTGGAAAGGATGAGACGGTCTCATCTGCTGGGCACCGATCTGACAGCACAGAATCTATCCTCGCAGCTGTCTCATCCGCATTCTATCACCCAGATGCAACACTCGCAGCAACAACAGCAACAACAGGCCAAGTCGTTCACTATCGATGCTATTCTTGGGCTGAGGAACAATCCAAGGGAGAAACGGGGCCAACAGCAACAGTACAAGAAACACCAAGGTATTTATTCGGTGTTTATCTGCTTTGACGATCATTGGTTTCCAGTTTTTAATGGGGTTGCGGTTGATAGGTTAAAAATTGTAGAATACTCCAGTGGAATAATGTTTGGTTGTATTCTAGTGTTTCTAATCGGGAACGATCAAACGTTGCTCACTTCAGCTGAATTTCAATCCGAAACAAATGGTTGTCCATTGCTATACAGTCCGGTGAAAATTTTCGTATCGATTACATAGTCATAGTTAGAGAAATTTCTGTTGTCAACAGAAATTGAGTATCATTACAAACTGGAATCGTTTAGCGATCGTATTGTCAGCTTTCACGCGTTCCCTGCCACGTCGTTATAATTGTGAGGTAAAAGGAATACTGGAATTAATTAATTCTGTGTGATCCTATAACCTTCGACAATTTTTATATCAATCCTGACGGACGTTCGGATTTATTCCTGAAATTCCATCGAAATGAATTGGAATAGCTATAAATAATTACATTTATCAGCAACGGTTGAACGTTGAAAGTTTCAGTGATCAAGAGTTTGTTCCCCAAATTGTCATTCGAAAGTTTCGAACGGTCCAATCAAAATATCAATAACACTGGTTACTGCAAACTCAATACATTCGGCTGATAGTAAATTAATACGAGATCCGATTATTATGAGATTATAACCTTTCAATTATTAAAATTACACTGAAATTCCGAAGCTCCAGAGAATCGTCCGATCAATTCAGTTGCATGTAAATTACAATCAAAATCCCGTGATATCATATTCTCCGTACACGAACCTAATTAGTTTCGACAAGATTACCGTGGATCCATTGATCTTTCGCGGAAACGATAGACGCTCGGTTCCCATATCACGGGTCGAATTGCAGGCCAGGAAGGCGGCGCGAAGAACGGAAGCTCGAGCTCTTGTTCCGGCGGCGGTGGCAAGCTGAAGAGGGTGCGGACGATCTTCACCGCGGAACAATTGGAGCGGCTGGAGGGCGAGTTCGCGCGTCAACAATACATGGTCGGCCCGGAGAGACTGTACCTGGCGCACGCACTCAGGCTGACCGAGGCGCAGGTGAAGGTCTGGTTCCAGAACCGACGGATCAAGTGGCGGAAACACCATCACGAGCAGCAGAGCCAGCGAGTGCACGAGTTCCAGCGCACGCTGAATTCCTCCCTGGAGCACGAGGACAGCAACGAGGCCGACAAATGGTGAAAAGACTCCGTGCACCTCGGTCGAGACGCGTCGCTCCGTTCCCTCGTTCCCTCTTTAGTGTCGCTGATAAAGCTCTTCGATCCCAGAAATGACCGACCCCCTCCGATCAATCTGATTGGTAAAAGATCGAGAATCTCCGAAGAACAATTCTGTTCGAGTATGAAGAAGCTCTGACGCTTTTATATGTCCACTATTTTTTGAGTTTGTTTGCGTGTTTTAATAGTCTCTCTTTTCGATTCTGATGAGATTGAGAAGGAAAGCTTTGTAGACCAGTGGTAGATGTCCCAGTTGATCGTGGATCTCGAGGATTTAGGTAAAGGGACACGGTTAGGGGATGCTCGTCTAGTGAATTTTACTGGTACTCTGAGAAACGCTGTTGAGTACTTTGAACCGATGACTGAAACGCTAAGACACTTCCGCGCCATTGAACTTTGTTGCAATTGTGTTTAGGGACTCGATATCTTTGAGGTCGAAGGATTACGTCTTCAGTGTTGCATTGACTTTGTGGGATAATGCAATAATAGGGTGCATTGGAAAGACACCGTGGTATGGTATGCGAATCCTGTCGGGTGCTAAAAGTGAAAGGACAGTTTTCGAGTTTCCAAGAAGAGATTGCAACAATGAAATCAGCCGAGGGTTACAAGCAGAAGAACGCAGGCCAGTCGTTCTCGGACTCTAGGAATCTGCCTGATTCGTGTTGGAATTATCAGAGGAATGGTCAGTCCTCATTCAACAGAAGCAGCAGGTACGCACTTTGCTGAATAAATAACGCCGACCGTTTGAAAGTTGATTTGCAAGAAATAGATTTTGTAAGCGATTAAGAGTGAGTATCCGGTAGAGAGTTGTGAAAATATTCTTAAGGAATGCGGAAACAGTGGCCGGCTACCATTCCTCTTCGACGTACAAGGCTCCGAAAGGGTACACGAGCTCCAAGACGACGCAACTGAAGTGCATTCCTCCTCGCAGTGGCGAGCTACCGCGCCACGGGTTGCAGAGTCACTCGAAATTCGACAGGGACAAGCATTATCATTCGAAAATCCCGGCTAAGAGCAAAAATCGCTATGAAGGGTACACTGGGGAACTGAAGTACGTCGATGACGAGGTGACGGAAGATAATGGGGAGGAGATCGTGGAAGAGGAAGGTACAGGTTAGATAAAGACTATTAATATCTAGAATAAGAATACATTTAAAACGATGAAACTGACAATAGAATATTTTCATGACAATATTTCGCGCAGTCCTTTTGTGAAATCTTCAATTTTTCTGGCAGAGGATGAACCCGCGGACACAGGAGAATTCCTGAACAAGGAGTACGATGAGCAGGAAGCAGACGACGAAATAGACGAGGAATCTGACCCCTCTCCACAGATGCACAGAGAACAGAGAGCCTGTAAGGAGGCAGATCTGAGACAAGCACGATGGAAGGCCATCGACCAGCAACAAAATCCCCGAAGACTTCGTTGCCAGCAGCATGTCTTGGCTGTGGGCCAAGGTCATTCGCCAACAACAAGGTTCCTGGAATTGTTTAACATTTTTATGAAAATTTACGTTCGATGTGCTTCGTTTGAGAGATGATGTATGAATAAGTGACTCATAAATGATAGTTTATTTGATCGTTATCCTTTACAAATGAGATCTATGATCTAGTTATAATTGCACTCCAGTGTCTTATAGTTGAAGTCACTCGAAGATAATTAATTAGAAGCATCGCCCGGTAATTAGGTTCTACCAACATGTCGCCAAGCACGAGGTTCCCGAGCCCTTATCAGATGAAGACTTCGTCCCAACGTCAATGAGACACTTAACGAGAAGGTCCGCGGATTATCATCGGTGGTCACAATCGAGAGGCGAGCCAAATCGACACGATGCGGCGCCGTTGCATGCACAGAGCCGGCGAGCCCGCACGAAACCGGATGTGAACCAACTTGTGGACACCGAATACACCAGAACGAGGAAGTGCCATCGTTGCGGCAGCCTGTCGAATAGAGCGAACGTGTCGCCTTTGAGAAACGGCTGCAGATTCAATGATCGCGACAGTTTTCCTACCAAGGGACCAATCGGTACTTCTGCCCCAATTAATCTGTTATAATATTTAACCAGTCAACACCATTAAAGCTTCAGAATCAGTAGTACTAGCTTTCACTAGAGCGATCTAAATTTGACTATGTTACTATCCAAGTAAATATACAAATTTTCATGTCCTTCAAGATCGCGAGCCAAATAAAAATCTGTAGGGCAATTCTGGGTGACTACATTAAAATTGACAAATGTTTTCAATTTTCTCGGTATACTGAACCTTGCACAGAAACCTAACTATTCTTGTATACTTCCTTCCTTGGGAATCAGTAATATTTATCATGTAACAGTTCTTTTTAAAGTGGACCATCTCTCCTCGACTTGCCCTACATTGCGAACGAGTTTTAACCTTCGATTTCCCTCGTATTTTCCAGGCGACGAACCTGAGAGCCACGAGCAGACGTTCTGCGGGCGCTGCGTGATGCGGCACAACCCAGGAGACACGAATGGCGTCAACGACATGCAACCCTCCCTGTACGCGACGAAACCACGCAAATTTCGAGACACGAAGTCCCCCGCGTTCTACCAAATTCCCCAGCAAGATCGGATGGACCGTCTCGCGAGCGACTACTCGCGATCTTCGTCGAGGTACCACAGAAAGCCGGACCACGAGAAGACGAAACGTTCCCTGCACGCTTCGTACGGTCTGCCGCACCTGTGGCCCCGATACGAAGAGTAACCGACCCCCCGACGAAGCGAGAACCTCGAGGAATCCATGACAAGTGACGGACGACGGGAAACTGTGATGTGAAAGCTCGTATGTTCCGAAGAACTGAAACCGATCGCGACATTTCTGGGATCGATGATCTTCCGATATTGTTTCTTGGACTTGTACAAGTATTTTCGATACTATTTTTCCTTCGTCCCTCGTTCGAGCACTGTCCCCTATGGTGTACGTTTTAAGTGTGTCCGATA